TCTTGGCCTCAGCAACTCCATCTGTAAAACGTAGTTGTTGTGAGGCTCAAATGAGCTGCAAAGTAAAACACTATATAAATGCTAGCTATTAAGAGAAGTATGGTGTCCAGGGCATGTGATAAGGTCAGACCACCTCTGGAGAAGGATGTTCAGTTCCAACTTCCACATTTTAAGACATTCATAAGCTGGAGCGTGCACAGAAAAGGGCACCGAGAATGGTAAAGGGTCTCAAGATCTTGTCATATAGGGATTATTTGGAGAAAATGGAGATGCTTAACCTAGAGAAGTCTCAGGGGAGACATAATAGCTCTTTTCTAGCATTCAAAGTAGGCTATTGAGGATAAAGAGAATTCACTTCTTGTCTGGGAATTCAAACCTTGTCCAAGAGAAAGCAAGGTGCTGAGGGACTTCCACAGCTCCTCTTGACCCATGCACAGGCCTTCCCTGCCAGAGAACCATAGTACACCTCAGAGCTGGAAGGAAGTTCAGGGATCATCTAGCTCAATGTTCTCATTTTTCAAATAGTACAGAGAAAAGATATGACTTGCTGAAAGTCATATGGGGATTAGTGGCAGTGTTAAGACTGTTACCCATACCTCATAGTCTTTCCATTATCCTTTGACGTAGCAGGAGACTCTACAAATCAATTTTTTCCCTGTCATCTTTAATTCTCCCTTCTGCTTCTCCCTACATCCAATCAATTGCCAAGTCCAATCTCTCTTGAAAGTCTTCTTTTCAAACCCTTCTGTATCATGCTTGGTCAGGTCCTCATTATCACTTGATGAGATATCAATGTAATGATATGTATACAGTGATAATTCATGTAAAGAGTTCTGAAAACTTTAAATCATATATAAAGGCCAATTATTATCACCTGGATATTGTAATAGTTTCCTAATTTCTGGTTTCTTTGCTAATCCTGTGAAAACAAGCAGTACCGGAGAAATCTTAACATACAGTTCTGGTAGTATTCTTCTCAAAAACCCACAGTAACTTCCTATTGTCTACAGAGAAGTTCTCAAACTTTTTGGTCTCAAGACTCTTTTATGCTCTTTTTTAATTGAATATATTTTTCTTTTAATATTTCATTTTTCTAATTACATGTAATTTAATATTTCACTTTTTCCCCAAGTTATATGTAAAAACAATTTTTAACATTTTTTAAATTTTGAGTCCCAAATTCTCTCCCTCCCTTTCTTTTCTGTTCCCTCATTGAGAAGGCAAGCAATTTGATATAGGGTATACATGAGCAGTCATGCAAAATATATTTCCATATTAGTCATGTCATGAAAGAAAACAGATTAAAAAAACCCAAAACCAAACAAGAAAATTAAAGAAAGTTTTTAAAAAGTATGCTTTGATCTGCACTAAGATTCTATCAGTTCTTTCTCTGGAGGTGGATAGCATTTTTCATGATGAGTCCTTATGAACTGTCTAGAATCATTGTATTGATCAGAATAGCTAAATCATTCACAGTTGATCATCATACAATGTTGCCGTTACTGTGTAGATGTTCTCCTGGCTCACTTCACTGTGTATCAGTTCATGTAAGTCCAGGTTTTTCTGAAAGTATCCTGGTCATTTTTTATAGCACAATAGTATTTCATCACAATCACATACCACAACTTGTTCAGTCATTCTCCAATTGATGGGCATCCCCTCAATTTCCAATTCTTTGCCACCACAAAAAGAGCTGATACAAACATTTTTATACATGTATGTCCTTTTCCTTTTTTATTTTCTAACTCTTTGGGATACAGACCTAGTACTGATATTGCTGGGTCAAAGGATATGCATAATTTTATAGCCTTTGAGCTATTCTCCAGAATGGTTGAATCAGTTCACAGCTGTACCAACAGTGCATTAGTATTTCAATTTTCCCATATCCCCTCCAATATCTGTCATTTTCCTATTCTGTCACATTAGCCAATCTGATCAGTTTGAGGTGGTACCTCAGAGTTGTTTTAATTTGCATTTCTCTAATTGATAGTGACTTGGAGCAAAAGTACTTTGCTTCTGACTACTGCCTCCCCCAATCCACCCTGTCTTCTATCAAGCCCCTCACCCTTTCTCTTATCCCTTTACCTTATTTTCCTGCAGAGTAAGATGGATTTCTATACCCAACTGAGTGTGTATGTTATTCCCTCTCTGAGCAAATTCAAATGAGAGTAAGGGTCAAGTACTCCCCTACATCTCTCCCATCTTTCCTTTCATTGTAAAAGCTCTTTCATGCATCTTTTATGTGAGATAATTTCCCCCATTCTACCTACCCTTTTTCCCTTCTGCTAATGCATTCCTCTTTCTCACCCATTAATTTTACTTTTTTGGATATCCTATCATATTCAACTTATACCACACCCTCTGTTTATGTATATTCCTTCTAACTACCCAAATAATAAGAAAGTTCTTAGGAGTTACAAGTATTATCTTCCCATGTAGGAATATAAACAGTTTAATCTTATTGAATCCCTTTTGATTTCTCCTTCCTCTTTACTTTTTCATACTTCTGTTGAGTCTTGCATTTGAAAGTCAAATTTTCTATTCAGCTCTGGTCTTTTCATCAGGAATGCTTGAAATTCCTCCATTTCATTGAATATCCATTTTCCCCCTGAAGATTTACACTTAGTTTTGCTGGGTAGGTGAGTCTGCGTTGTAATCCTACCTCCTTTGCCCTCCAGAATATCATATCCCAAGTCCTCTGATGCTTTAATGTAGAAGCTGCTAAATCTTGTGTTATACTGACATTTAAATTGCTTCTTTCTGGCTGCCTGCTATATTTTCTCATTGACTTGAGAGCTCTGAAATTTGGCTATAATATTTCTGGGAGTTTTGTAAAGCTGAGGGTAGATGGTGTAAAGAAGGCTAGTTTGTTACCTTGCCTACTTTTCAGGAAGGAACTTTCCATAGTTGGGAAGTTCTCGGAATGTCAAAAGCACCTGTAGATGACAAGGCGCAGAGTGTCATCCTTTCCCTTTCAGTAAGAGAAGCAACAGGTGTGAGACTGAATATTAGTTCTCGGGCCTCCCTCACTTTCAGAGGATGTCTTCAGCCCCACATCCACCTCAAGTAGATCCTGTTGCAAAACAATTTCTTCTCCCTGGCAGATTACTCCTTACCCTACCTCGTGCTAAGATGAATGAATGGTGGTACAGCATTTATATGTTGTTGGTTCAAGTTTTTTGGATTTGCCCTTCCTTACCAGCAGGATGTTTTTCCTTTGAATGTGTATTTTCAGAAGACACCAGTGGCACAATAATGAAGGTGTGATTTGGAATTTAATTCTATTTTGTTTTATTTTTTCTATTGGCCTAACATCACTTTAACAACCTGATTGTGAAATTAGATTAAGAAAGATGGCAGACTGGGACAATCTTATTGGATTGTGACTGATGTTAATGTACGGTGGTTTGTTTGGCTCTTTCCTAGTGAAACATATAGACTGAATCAACCCCCAAAATGGCATAATGATTTGGGGGGTTTTGCCCAGTATTATAGATAATAGTAAATAGTCAAACACCTGACAGATGTGTCAAAATGGTTAAAAGAGCCAGAGCAACTATTTCACTATTAGGTCATTTTAAGGCCAAACTGAATTACACACAAAACAGTTGGTCAGCTGTTTGCTAATAAACTTGTAAACTCTTAAAAAAAAAGTTCATGAGAAAAGACTGGAAAGGTAGAGCCACATTATGAAGGATCTTGAATGTCCTACTATGGAGTTTGAATTTACTCATTAGGCAATAGGAAGTCCTTGAAAGGATTTTGAAGAGTGACATATCAATTCTATTCATAAGGAAAATAAGTCTGAAAAGTATTATAGAGGTCAGATTGGAGGGAGAGATGGCAAGAAAACCTATTGGGAGGCTATTGCAATTACCCAGGTGGTTAGTAATAGGATGTGTGTTAAGGTGGTGGTAACAGAAATAGAGGACAATAAGGACATACAGTTAGCTGGAAGGAATTTAAGAGGCCATCTAGTTCAACCCTTTCATTTTATAGGTGAGGAAACTTGAGTCTCAGAGAGGTGATGTGACTTACCTATGTTTACACCTATTAAGTGTCAGAATGAGGAGTAAACCTACATCTTATGGCTCAAAACCCAACACTTTCTCCAATACATTATAGTAAGAAACTTAGAGATCTCTTTTGGGCAAAACCAAGGCCCCAGAGAGAAAGTCTTTTGCCAGATGACAATTAAGTGGCACAGTGAGATTCCAGTCTGGGTCTTTTTATCCCATATCCAGTGCTCTTTCGGCTAGGTGCTTAATATGTTGCACAGAATTTTTCAACTTCAAAGACGATACATAACCAAGCAGGCTGTAGGCTGGTATAAACAAGGTGGACCCTCAAACGTGATTCCCTGGCTTCCTTCCAGACCCAGCAAGAAATTCCACCTTCTGTAAGCTTTTCCTGATCCCCCTTAATGGTAGTGCCTTTCCTGCATGATTATCTCGAGTTTATCCTGTTGATAGCTTATTTGTCCAGGGTATTTTGCATATCGTCTCCCCCATTAGGCTGCGAGCTCCTTGAAGGCAGGGAATATCTTTTGCCTTTATATCCCCAGCGCTTAGCATCTCGCTTAACAAATGCTTCCAAGCAACTTGACTTGGATGCTATCTAGACCAACCCCACTGGTCCTCCAGAAGACGACGCTATGGTCCAGAGAAGGGAACCGAGTTGCGCAAGGCCACACAGGAAGCAAGTGGCAGGGCAGAGATTCGAAGCCGGAACCCCCAACCCCAAAGCAGAACTCTTTCTGCTCCACCACGGGGTCTCTGCTGGGGTTGGGGTGGAGGGACGCATTTTCTTAGGGAGCAGAGCAGCTCCAAAAAGGAACCGGCAGACCTAAGCGTCTTTAGAAGAAGCGTCACTCAAATGCACAAATACAGCCAGACTTCAAGGGTCACTTCCGGCTGCCTGCGCAGACTCTCCCCTCGACAAGCCACTGCGCAAGCGCGAGAGTCGGCCCCTCCGGATGAGAGGCGAGGCGTTGCTACGGCAACCGCTCGAGGCCTACGGAAACCTCGCGAGGCTGGTGGGAGGTAGGAGGCAATCCGGACGTGAGCCTGGTACCCGGTGAGGGCAAGTTGACGTTTCTTCCTCCGCGGCCTCCGAGGTTTCCCACGCCTCCCGCTCCCGGGCCCGATATTACGTCTTTCCAGAGGGGCCCTGTTACATCCCATCTCCTCTGAATCCCTCTCCACCGACCCCTCCCCAGCGCCCCCAGTTCCCCTCAACCCTTCAGGCCCTGCCTGGTTCCCTCCGCACTCCCAGGCCTACCTTCCCTCCCGCCCCCTCGGCCTTCCACTCCCCGAAGCTCCACGCCCCCGGGCCTCCTCCTTCTATCTCCTTCAAGCCCGATCCTTGCCTCTTCTACCCTCCAAGCCGTCAACCTCAGGGATCGAGGACCCACCCCGGCTCACCCCTAACTCCTGACCCTCCCCCTTCCATCGCCTTCAAGCTCAACCCCTCCCTCCCTCATATTCCTAGCACCAAACAGGCCTGGCTCTAGTCACCCCAGGGTCTCCCCCCACACACTTCGTCATCCTCAAGCCCCAGAACGCCCCTTCTGGTCCCTCTAAATCCCCAGCCTGTTACATCCCCTAAACCTGGTTTCTCCCCCTCCCCCTGCCCTTTCCCTCCACCTGGCCCAGGATGGGGGACAACACCAGCCCCATCAGTGTGATCCTGGTCAGTTCAGGGAGCAGGGGCAATAAGTTACTGTTCAGGTACCCATTTCAGAGAAACCAGGAGCATCCTGCATCCCAGACAAGTAAGTGAGCCAGTGTTGGCAGTGTGGTATGGGACTCCTGGGGATGAGAAGCTGGCTCTTTAAGGTTGAAGGGAAGAGTGGTGACAGTGACAGCGCTGACTGTTGGGCTTCTCTGCCCTTCTCATCCTTTCCCTAGAGCAGTGAAAAATCTCAGTGGTTTGTGTAGAAACTGAAAAGTGAGCTCATTTGGGGTGAAAACAAGAATATCTGGCGTTTCTGAGACTCCACCAAGGTGCCATGCTGTGTGCAGGGGATACAAAAATAAAAAATGACAGTCCCCCAAGATCCTAGAAAATTTATGTCATTATGATCTTGGGATCATATTTTTCCACCAAGTGAAGCTCGTGTCTCTCTACCTCTTTTTTTTTAAAGGTTACAGATAATGCTTTTCAGCCTGAACCACAAAGCAATGAAAAAATTTTAAACAAGTTTCTTTTCTTTGTAGAAAAACTTCCTAACAAACATTTATTGGTCTTAAAAAAACTTTTATTGATGATTCTTTTTTAAAAATATATTTATTTTTCTCCATATTCTACGAGAGGCAGTTTGTTTAATTATCACAGATCATAGAGCCTGATATTCCAAATGATAGCAAATACTTCATGAGCTTTCTTTCTAAATGAATTTCATACTTATTTCAGAGAAGACTGTTCATGAGTGGTTCTTAATCCTGTATTGAAAAGTTTTGAGAATGAAAAGTTTCTAAATTGGTTGAAGTATAAAAACTACATTTCGGTAACAGTGGTATAGTGAAAGAACACTGGCTGTGGAGTCAGTCTGGGTCTAAATCACAACTCTGACACAATATGTGTGACTTTGGGCAGATCCCTTAACTAGCCAGTGCCTCAATTTCCTCATCTGCAATAGTAGGAGGTCCAAAATCTAGATAGCTAGAGCGATGGCATCAAACTCAAATAGAAAAAGGGGCCACTAAATTGTATGTAAGGATCCCTAGAAAATCACGTGTTAACATTATGTTCTATTGTATTTTTATTGTATTAAATATTTCTCAATTACATTTTAATCAGTTAGGGCAGCACTCAGGAGTGTGGCAGGTGGCAAGTCAGGTATTTGACACCTCTGGTCTAGAGACTAGATGGTCTCTGAGGTCTGTTCCAAATCTGAAACACCATCTGTCCCTATTTCTGGTGAGGTTTTTTTTTTGTTCAGTTGTTTCAGTCATGTCCAACTGTCTATGACCCCATTTGGGGTTTTCTTGGCAGAGAGGCTTGAGCAGTTTGCCATTTCCTTCTCCCACTCATTTTACGGGTGAGGAAACTGAGGCAAATAGGGTTAAGTGATTTGGCCGGAGTCACGTAGCTAGAAGTGTCCGGGTCTAAATTTGAACTCAAGAAGATAAGGCTTTCTCACTCGGGGCCTGGCACTCTATCCTCTGCACTGCCTAGTTTGCCTTCATTTCTTGTGTAAGAAACCCAGTTTTTGGAAAAGTCTCAATAGTTAGCTGAATTTTATATTTTTACTTTGGAATATGAGAACTCTCTTCAAGAAATGTTTTAAAAATTAACATGCTACTATGAAATTATCAAAATTTTACTGTACTTTCCACTATGGGAAGACATTTTATTCAGCTTACCTACTTAATGTGCCATTTCTTCTTGGAGCTATTCCTGTGCTCTGATACTTATGAATTTGTTTTCTCATTGATATGGATGCTCCATAAGCAGATCGTAATCCATTCCAGGCTGCTTGTCCCATGAAGTTCTTAGCCATGTCCTCTCATAAATCTGCCATAGGGGATTCACCCAATGTGTTGTGCTGTGCTTCCTCTAGTTCTGGCCATTAGTTCTTAGGATCAGAGATTTAGAGTTGAAAGAGATCCAGTGCCATCTAATTCAGACCGATCATTTTACAGATGAAGAAGCTGAATCCAGGAGAGGGAAAGTGACTTGGTAAAATGAGTTGGAAGCCAGGATTTGTACACATCTTTGTTCTTCTGTACTCCTTGCCCTTGGGGTATGTAAGTTGTGGGATGGCATCACCTAGATAGGTCCAAGCTCTGCATTTAGGAGTTCCTGTTGTTTGTTTTATGGCTCACTTAACTGAATCAGTTTAGCTACATGTTAAAAACAATTTTTATTTGAATCTTTTATTTCTACATCACCCTTTCCACATATTTCCATTCCTTCCCATGTACTCCTGCCCAGATAGCCATCCCATAGAACAAGGAATAATTTTTTAAAAAAATGTAGTTTAGCAGCACATCCACTAAGTACAGTGTTCCACACCCATTGTCTCCCTTTTCTGTGAAGAGAAGCTTCCCCACTTTTGTCAGTAACGTGAAAATAGGTAGCACTAACTACTAACCAATCCCAGCCGAAGGGGTACAGGAGATGATAATAGAACTTTTGAGATCTCTGGTTTGAATATAGGTTACAGGCTGGTCAAACAGAGCAGTCACTTATCCATTTATTTATATTTGGCTTTTAGTCCTCTATCTAAAAGTGCCATAGAGCATTCTGGGAGTGCAGAACATCATAGAGTCAGGGATAACTGCATTTCTCTTTCACTAGGTAGTGGTAGTAGTAACTGACAGCTTGGGTACACAGAGTGAAGAAACCGTCTTATTTTCTCCTCTCACCATCACCACAGTGCTCAGATAAACAGCGACATATTTGTATACTGGCTGTTCTGCACAGTTTTAAAACTTTAGCAATATATGTTATAAATATAGTAGAAATAATTTTTAATTGCATGGAAAGGCATATTGTTAAAATTACAGTTGATAATGCCTGGAATTCTGCTTGCATAGGATATAGTTTGCCTTCTTGTCTATGGTAGCCATTTTTTGTTTGTCCCAGAGTTATAAATAATTCCATGTACAGTTGTCACTGAGTTTCCTTACACACTGAATGCTGTTTATTGACAGTTTCTATTATGCCTAAATCCAAGTTTAAAATTGCACATAGGTGCTGAAGACCCTCTATCAGTAGTTCCCAGCTTCTGATGATGTATACCCTTGGGAAATTCCAGTGCTATTGCAAAATATCTGCAAAGCTATATGTCCACAAAGCTTTGTCATTTTAATCTGTTTTTAATGCTGACAAAATATCTTGAATGAATCAGTATAATAAATAAATATATTGTCTAAAGACTGAATAAATAACATATTTTGTACATTGTTTTATTTTTTAAATGTAGTTGCCATTGTAATTAATAAAATACAAATTCACTTAAAAACGTTAATGAATCTATAGTGGTTTTCTATCACTGTATTTTCTCAATCAACATACACTAATGCAAATATCATGTACAGATCTGCAGCATTTTTTTACATTAAAGGGGGTTCTTATACTAGGAATGGTAAGAACCACTCCCTTACATTTTGTATGTGCTTTAAAATATTATTCACATTTTAAAGATGAGGAAATTGAGGCTCCAAGATATCAATCTTGAAATTTGTTTGTAGTGACAGCTATAAAGTGTCAGAGGTAGAACTTGGAACCTAGATCTTTCCACTGCATCGCATTGCTTCCCAATAAACTATTTTCAGCAAACTTGCCATAGTGATGAAAATTGCCCATCCAGTGTTCTTGATGTCTTAAAAAAAAGTTTTATTGATGCCTTCTGTTTTTGACATTGCAGTCGTTCTGGAAATGCCCTCTCCTTTCAATTAAACCCGCTTTTAACAAAGAAAACCAAACAAGCAAAAACATCTATGCAGGTACACTGTTTGAAAATGTATGACTTTCTGTACTAGCAATTCCCTTCTCCACAGTGAAGAGAGAGGTATGCTTCACCATTTGGCAATCTTTTCAAAAAACTCATGTAGTGTGTCAAATTTTTTTTATTATGTAGAAACATTGTGGTTTATTGGATAGAGTACTGGATTCTGAGTCAGAAAGACCTGGGCTTAATTCCTGCCTCAGTTGTTTACTACTTGTGTACAACTGTGAGCAGATTAACTTCTCTGAGCCTCAGTTTCCTCATCTATAAAATGGGGATAATACTAATAGTATCTGCTGATATTGTAAAGATTAAATAATATAATGTGGGTGAAGTGCTTTTCAAATCTTAAATCACCATGTAAATGTCAGCTTTTATTATATAGTCAATTCTAAATATACTAGGTTTAATTATATAGCTTATGTATTATATACATAGTCCAGAAATGAGGAGCCTTTTTATCCATTGAAGAACAGTGACCAACAGAAAAGTTAAAGGCACCATAGAAATAAAAAATACTTTAGTTAGATTGATTTTTTATTTTTTTAAAAGAGAAAGGTTTGGCAAAGAATTGGAAATGGAGAGGATGCCCATCAATTGGGGAATGACTGAGCAAGTTGTGGTATATGAATGTAATGGAATACTATTGTGCAATAAGAAATGATGAACAGGCAGACTTCAGAAAAACCTGGAAAGATTTGTATGGTCTGATGCTGAGTGAAGTGAGCAGATCCAAGAGGACTTTGTACACAATAACAGCCACGTTGTGCGATGACTAATATTGATAAACTTAACCCTTCCCAGCAATACAAGGATCTAAGATCTCCAGAGGCCTTGTGATGGAAAATGCTATCCACATCCAAAGAAAGAACTATGGAAGTTGAATTGCTATTTTTTTTCCTCTTCTGTTGAGTTTTGTTTCCTCTTTCTGATGGCTCCTCCTATTGCTTTTAATTTTTACTTACAATATCACTAATGTGAAAATATGTTTAATAGGAATGTAAATGTATAGCCTATATCAGATTGTGTGCCGTTTGGGGAGGGTGGTGGGGAGGAAGGGGGAGAAAAATTTTAAACTCAAAAGCATATGGAAGTGATTGTTGATAACTCAAAATAAATTAATAAAATTTTAAAAAAAGAAAAAAGAGAGAAAAATTAAAATCATCTGATTTTTAAACTAATAGGAACTGTAAATGCATCAAATATTTTAAAACATACTTTAATCCTATAACTAGTTAATGAAGAGGGAGATAATATTGAGGGGATGATGAAGTAAGGGCCCATTCTGAGATAAATTTATTAGTAAACTATTCTTGTCACAATCAACAAGCATGTCTGTTGTTCAATCATTTTTCAGTCATGTCAGACTCTTTGTGATCCCATTTGGGGTTTTCTTGGCAGAGATACTGGATTGGTTGGCCATTTCCTTCTCCCGGTCATTTTACAGATGAGGAAACTGAGGCAAACAGGGTTAAGTAACTTGCCCAGGCTCATACATCTAGTAAGTGTCTGAGGCTGGATTTGAACACAGGTCTTTCTGACTCCAGGGCCAGGGCTCTATCCACTACACCTCCATCTCCTAATATACAAAGCACTATTTTAGCTGGCATGGGAGATTTTTAAAAAATAAGGATGTGTCTCCTGCCCTCAAGGAGCTTTCAGTGTAGCTGGGGAGTCATCATACTAATTATGCAACATCAATGTTGTATGTATAATATATATATTGTTATGTAGTATACAATTAAGTGCTAAATTACATGGTACAGACTTTAAAGTTCTGTAAGGATTCTGAGTAGAGGGAGACCGTTGTGGGCTGAAGGAGTTAGGGAAAGTGACATTGAACAGGTAGAACGTCTTAGAATTCAAACATCCTTTTGTCTATAGACCTCTGGTGACTACCTCTTTCACTGTTCACAGTTGTCAAACTCATTGCTTTTTTAAAATGCTTTTGCCTGTGTCTGAGAGGTGGAAATGAAATGCAGCTGCCAAGAACATTGATCAGCAGTTTGTTGACATAATAGTTCCCATATTTTTCTAGTGCTTTATAGTTTACAAAGTAATTTTCTCACAACAAGTTTATGAGATAGGTCAAGGATTATTATTTCCATTTTATAGTTGAAGAAATTGAGGCCCAAAGAGATTATGATTTGCCAATAAGTTGTGGAACCAGAAATAGAATCTTTTTACTCCATATTTGGTGTTTTCCTCTCTACATCACACTGAGGGGAAAGGTGGAAACCTATGATTAAAATAGAAGTTTGGGGATTATTTGTGGAGTTCGTTTGTCTGTGCTATCCTTGTCCCCTAACTTATCATATTTAATGTAATATATTTTGTTTCCTTTTGCTATAGATAAGCCACGTAGCCGATATGCTGTTAATAACACAGGAGACAATACAGATGACCAAGATGGGGACTCCAGGTAAGGGAACCTTCCTACCCTTTCAGAAAAGGTAGAGGATAAAAGAAAAAATTAGGTGGCAGAAAAGTACACAGCTTCCATCCCGTCCCGTCCTGATTCTCCTTTAAGTGCCCACTGTATTTAAGGCCCTGTACTGGGTACTGTGGATATAAAGAAGAAAACAAAACATCTCCATCAAGGAGCTTACATTCCACCGGGAGATACAACATGTACAGAAATCAGTGTACACAAAATAATTGGAGGAAGATAAGAATGTTAACAATGAGGGGGCATAAGGGAAGTCTTCTGAGAGGAGGCGGCACTTGGAAGAAAACAAGAATTTTGAGACATATTTCACTGAGGTGGAAAGTAGAGGATTGACTTTTGAGAATCCTGTAATGTAGTTTATGAAGGGGCATAATTTGAAATAAGGTTTGAAAAGGTGGTTGGAACCAGGTTATGGATTGTCTTAACTTCCTAGCTGACGAGTTTGTATATAAAGGCGATTGGGAACTGCTGACAGATTTTGATCAAGAGAGCAACTTGGGCAGGCCTGTGCCTTAGGGAGATTATTTTAGAAGCTATGTCAGAGGTGGTTGGAAAGGGGAGAGCCTGGAAGCAGGGACAACAGGTATGAAGCTGTTTGGGTGAAAGGTGATGAGGACTTGATTTAGAGTGCTGCCCTTATATATGGAGAGGGTCAGACAGGTGTGAGAGAGGTGGCATAGGTAGTCACCAAGACATGTTAACTGGATAAGAGGTAAAGGAGAGGGGAGAGGAAATTGTGTCTGAAAAGTTATAAATCTGGTTGCCTGGAAAAGTCATGGTACCCTTACTGGAAAGAGGGAAGCTTAGAGAAGGGTGGGTTTAATGCAGAAATTGATCATTTTCTATTTGGATCTTCTATTTCAGACGTGATGAATCTGAGATGTTTGCATCTTGGTAGAGATGTCCCATAAGATGATTGGAGATATGGGACTGGTGTTCTTTGCACTGTGACTGGTTGACTTTTGGCAGTTCTTCTAACTGCTTGATAGGACTATTTGTAAACCCAGGTTGTCACCTCCCTACTTGTGAGTCCTCTGCTTGTCTTCCTTGATGCTTTATTGTGATGGGGTGCTTACCTTGGGCTGTTAAAGCCTTTGCCAAAGGAGTGTAGGCTCTGGAAGGACTTAACAAATTGAAAAGGCTTCAAGTATGGACTTGGCCACACACTGTTGTCCAATTAATGTGTTAGGTGCTGGAGATACAAAGAGAAAAATGAAAACAGTCCCTGCCCTCATGGAGCTAACCAACCTAGTGATGGGAAGGTTCTTTACTGACAGGTAAGTCATTAGGTGATAATTTTTTTTAACTACAGCAGTTCATGGGACCATGTGTTGACAGGTGCTGTCTGCTTCAATGAGAGCTGATGAGACAGTATCCATGTAGTACCTGAACTAACACTTTATACAGTGTTTTTAGATGTCTGAATTCATTTGTTCTTTAAGCATTTGTTTAAGTCCAGTGCTAGACATAGGGTGAGATAAAAAGTTTGGATAAGAAACTATCTCTGTACTAATGGAACTTATATCTAGGAGCGAGAATAGACATAAATGTGACTATCATATATTATTGTATGTTATAGTTAAATACAAGGTATAGTAAGTTGCAAAACAAAGTGCTATGGGAGGGTCCAAGGGGAAATGTTGTTATACCTTGGAATATACCTTCTTGAGATAAAGGTCTGTGTTTAGCATTTGTATTTGTATACCCAGTGCATAGCATAATGCCTTACACATAGGAGGGCACTTAATAAATATTTCTTAAATTCAGTTGCATTATTTACAAGAATATATGACAGATGAGATATTTTCACACATTTGTCAATCCACATGCAGTCAAAGAGATGCAGGACTCTGGCAGCTCTTTAACTTAAGAGCTCTGGGAGTGCCATCTATTTTATTTCTCAAAGAAATGTTAAAAACCAGAAAATTCTTCCAAATTTCCGTAGCCAACTTAAACCGGGGAATGATAAAGTCTGTCATCAATGTTAGCTCTGTTCCATTTAGTATAGGTTTGAATTGTGAAGTTCTTTCTAGGAAACAATCTAAGCCTAAAATGAATGCTTTCTAGCACTTAGAATCTTTGATCTCCTTTGGAAAGAACTATAAAATTTTGAGACATTGTGGGAGTGCTCAGTATTCTGGGTCTTAACATAATTTCTGTCTATTTCAAAATGATGCTGTTTCTCATTCAGTTGGTCATAAATATTATGGAGAGGCAACATAGTATAGTGGTTAAAGCCTTGGAATCAGGAATACCTGAGTTCCAGTCTTGCCTTGGGTACATACCTGTGACTTAATCTCTTAGTGCTCCAGGCAGCTTGCTGAGACAGAGTTACAGGTTCTCTGTCTTCATCTGTTGATGGAATTTCCACACCAGGAGCTTCCCACACTGATGAAACCCCTCCTCCAAAAGAAACAAGTTTAATGGGAAGCAGAAACAGGACAAGGGGCTCAGCCCTGATATCCTGGGGGTCTTAGGCCACTTACATCTCTAACCAGGCTTCTCCAGTTCTAAAAGAAATAGGGTTTTTCTCTAATTTGACAGTACCATGCCAACCAAATTGATTTACAGTTTTCAAGATAATTTTCATTACTTTTCCCTGTCAAAACACTTTCCAAATGTATTATGGGCATCAGCAGTGAATAGTAAATATTTGTAAGGAAGTGCCTGGTAGTTTTGGAAGACAGGGCCATCTGGAGGAACTCTGCAACAACATGCCTGAAAGTTTGGACAGTTTTTCTAGTGAGTGGCCCTGTTAGAAATATTTGAGCTTAGCATATTGAAATTGTCAGCCTGCATGGTGGTTTTGTTGACTTTTGAGTATTAAATAGCACTCTCTGAAAGCTTAATGGTAGGTTTGATGCAAAGAACGATAGGTTTAATGCAAAAAATTGATCAGTTGCTGTTCAGACCATTCCATTTTAGACACTATGAATTTAGAGTCAAGATTTCTGTTGTTAACTACCTTTGTGATCTTGGGCAAATTACTTAAACTCTCTGGACCTCAGTTTCTTCATCTGTATAAAAAAGAAAAGGAGGTAGGATTAGACTAGATGACCTCTAAGGTCCTTTCCAACTCTAACTCCATGATCCTGTGATGTGATAAACCACTTATAGTTGTGTCAGAGATCTGGGTTCTAATCCTACTCCTGTCCCTGATTTTCCTCTCTGATCTTAGGGATCAGGATTCCTCTCTCAGACTAGATGTTTTCTTTGAACACTGTGGACTTGCTGATTCCAGTGTTCTTTGTCACACCCTTTCACTCTTGAATGGAGATAATTTTCGACACACTGAGGCCTGATGAGATAAAGCATGAGTGCCTCTGAAATTAGAGATCCTTAGACTACATTTCTCTTCCATGGTGTGCATGGCTCTTTATCTTCAAGTCCATTGTTGTTGTGGTTTTCCCTGTTAAAAGAGCTATGTAAAACAGCAAGACTGAACCAAAATAATCTTATTTGCCATAACATGATAGTGTATAATGGTGATAATATAACTTTCACTTTGATTTTAGTTTTCTACATCAGCTGTCCAAAATCAGCAAAAGTTTTGGATGCTTTCAAACATGTTTTTTTCTTATTTTTTTCTACTGGCTAACCTGACTATGAGCTGGAAGGGGGAGACTGCATATCCCTAGGGACAAGCTATTGTAGTCAATAAAGCTATACTATCTCGAATTCTTACCCTATTTGTTTGTTTAGTTTGGGGATTGCCCAATTGATCTATTCATTGAACATACATTTGTTGCACACCCTCTGTGTCCTGGCCACTACTGTGGAGTTTTGCAGGTCCTTTATGTCTCCTGTGGATTCCTCATTTTTTGAGGCAATGTTCTCCCATGGGAAGCAGCTTTGTGATGTGGAGAACATTGTATTTGGAGTAAGAAGGTCTAGGTTCAGAGAATTATATCATCATTCTAGAATGTTGCAAATTGACACCTGTTCCACAGCTCCTAGTCTTAGAAGGTTCCTTATGATATTGAGGTTGAATGACTTGGTCAGGGCCACACAGTCAGCAGGTTTTCCTGCAGTGGCGGAGGGTGTTTCCTCTACCTTTTGTGGTTTGGTCTTGCTATTTCATATAGATCTTGTAATAGAGAGTTTCCTAGAGCAATGGACTCACAGGTCTGGTCTGACAGCCCTCCCACATCCTCCAAAAAAATTCTAGAATGTTAGAAATAAATGAAGTCTTAGAGTTTATCTAATTGAACATTTTACAGATGTAGAGACTGAAGCCAGAGTGGTGGAGTAACTTGCTTGAGGTCATACCAGATGTTAGTACCAGAGTCAAGATTTGAACCCAATTCTTGATTTTTCAGGATAGTGTTATTTCTCCTATGGCATGCACCCCTTAGACTTCATCTCTTTTAGTCTCAGGTTCTTTATTTGTAAAATGGGGCTAATGTCCTCTCTGTCATGGATTATCATGAGCCTCAAATGAGATCGTTTATGGAAAGGTTTTTAGATTATATAATTGCCAACTACTGTTATTATTATTATTTGTAAGTTCTTCCTTATTGACAGATTCAGAATATAAAAATGCAGAGATATGTAATCCTGGAAATTTTGTTAGGCTTGTTTTCTGTTGCTGTATATTTGTTTGTTTTTTTAAGCAGCTGAGGTTTAGAGTATCTTCTTCTTACATAGCTTTAGAAAGATATCAAATAGACTACAAATGTGTTATAGGTAGTGAAGGGCTTCAACGTGAGAGGCTGATATTGATAGCTATTGTGTGTAGTTGCTACATTTAAATGAAGAAATCAGGCTCTTTGAAGAATTGGGACTAATTCTCATGTATTACCACCCTGCCTCCCAAATATGAAAACTGGAATTTTTGGTGGGTGTTTGGGTCGGGATATAATTATAGAATTCTCAAAGGAAAACATATTTGTAAGCTTTGTTGTTGAATGTGGGTAATCCTTTTTTTATATGTACACAATAGTTTCTTCCTTCATCAACTGTTCATCTATGTTTTATAGCAATTAACCTCTAACAATTTTGTACATCTTCCAGTTTTTAATACTGTCTTTTAAAAAAAAGTCAAGACAATCTCATGTTACGTTTCATGGTTTGTTCTTCTATTATATTTTTGTTTGGTTTTGATGGTCATGTTCCCATTTCAGCGAGCAATGTCCTCTAACCGATGAACAGTTGGTTGCAGGGTAAGACCAAAGCATTCTATACTGTCTTTTTGCCTCAACTCATGCTTCCTCTTCTCTTTATAATTGTGCTTAATTTCTGATTTTCACTTGATGTTGATCAATGAACTAACGAAACAACAACGGCAGCCATCACTCTGATGCTCAGTGCTCAGATCTCCCCAAAGGAGTTAGGAGGTCCTGCTAACATTTCTCTGCTTTCCTCCAGCTCGGACTCTTTCTCTTCTGAGCCTTGAGGTGTTTAGCTAGTGTGCATTTCCAAGAGAGCCCTAGTGGATACCAAGGAAGATTTTCTGGACAGGGCTTAGCTTTAACCACATTCAAACCCTTAACCAATTCTTTCTGACAAATTTGAATGAAGATGGGCATCAGGTTTTATTGCCAATATAATTATGTTATGGAGTGGGATCAGAGATTGTTTCCCTACACACATTCCCAGAAGAGTATATTTCACTAGTTAGTTTCTCTCCTGGTTTCTTTAGGTATATTTTAAAGGTACACTTTCTGTCCAGGTTCTGGGAATTAAGTGGGGCTGATGCCAGTATATGTATGTTACCTCTCTTGGTTGCTACTGGTTGTACCAGGAAGACATAAAAACTTTCTCCTGTTAGTATTTATAAGCAATTTCTCCTCAAGTAGAAGTGGATTATGTGATTTCATAAATGATAATCTTCATATCTTTTCCCTTTGGGGTCCCTGTTACCACATAGTCCTGTTTACTTTCTAGGAGCTTGAGGTGATGAAGTTGGAAAGCTGCAGTTACCTAGTATTCAGAATACAGTGGGGATGGCAGTGTCCCCTGGTACACAAGGTACAGAGGTAGCACTTTTAGATTAGGAAACTGCTCTTGATGGCAGCACCTTTGTTCTTATCCAGTCCATCTTTGCCCCGAGATGTCAAACCAAATCAGGATGGATTAGTAAATTAGTGGGCATCTAAGTGGTCTGGCTTTTTTTCACAGGCAGGCTATTTTGTTCTCCCTGTGGATACTTTGCCCAAATTTTTGATTAATTTCACAATTCCTTGTTGATGGGTTTTTTTTTCATTATTGTCCCAAATGCCAACTCTTTTCATTTAAAGAGAAGTGAAAATGGTTCCTGTAATCTTAGAAGATATGTATGTTATTAATTATAATCATTTCGCTGCTTTTTACTATTATCCACTTACAGGAATTTTGTCAAAATTGTTTAATAATTATTAATTTATTTTATTTGCAGAAATATATTGTTCCCAAACAATTTATAAGGCAAAATGTACTATTGAACCAAAACCCTTTCGGCATATCTGAATATTTATCTGACTTCGTAATTTTTAGGGACTGACTATAGATCCTCTTTTCTTTAAGGTATGATGACAGAGTAGAAAGAATTCCCTCACAATACCAAATTCTTCGATTCTTCTACATTGCATTTAATCTAGAGAGGCCCATTTAAACCAGAGTCCCATCTAAGGCAATGTTATTTAAAATAGTCTTGAAAATGGCTCATCTCGTATACATTAGAAAGAGTAATTGCCCCTGCTAGACCCTTTGCTTCCTCTAGACTGTGGGGAAAATGCCCTTTCTTGGACTTCTTGAATACGTTGATTGTACCTTGTAGACACAGTGTTGGGTTTATAGAAGTGGGACTAGAGGAGGTGTGACTTGACTTTTGCAAGCTCAGGATCCAGTTGTTGAAGAGAAGCTGATTTTAATTGTCCTTTTAAGGGTGGAAGGTAATAGTCTTTATGGAAAAGCTAAGAATTTTAGGTAGAGTCTCTCCCCACATTCAAGACTCCAATTCTTCTTGCAAAATTATGTCAAATTAGCACAATTTTTAAAAAAGAGAACTTTCTGGAATGAAGTGGAGTTCATTTTATTAGCCTCTCCCTCTATCTTCCCCTAGCCACCTGGTGGTAGAGAAAAGGGGTTATTCACTTGAACAAGCTTAATGTTTGACCAGTTTCTGGTACCTGAACTCTACCTCTACCTTTGTTGTATATCATGAGAGTGAAAGTGAGAGTATATTTAAAAGTAGACTCATTTATGGCCCTTTTTATCACATAACACCTTTCTCTAACTCTGTGGACAAGTCATTTAACCTCTGGGCCTCAATTTCCTCATCTGTGAAGTTGAGAGGATAATAATAATAGCACCTGCCTCACAGAGTTGTTATGAGAAAAGTGCTTTGTAAATTTTAAATCCTGTACAGCTAATTGTTATTACTATTTTGCCCTGATCCAAGACAGGAACTTTTCATTAAAGTGTGGACAGTAGCCTATGAGAGTCAGTCAACAAGCAACTATTAAATGCTTACTAGGTGCCAGGCACTATTATATCACAGGTAATGGAGATTTGCTCAGGATGGGCAAGTACCCTCAAGGCTTTCTGACTTTGAAAGGGGTTTCTTCCTCTTCAAATTTCCACTATTTTTTTTACATATCCAAATAGTATTTTCAAGCAGAAAATGTGTCTGTAGTCACTTGACTATGAAAGAAATAGGTATTAGTGCTTAATTCTGTGTGTCAGATCATTCCAGTTACAGGTGAACCCAGTGGGCAATTGATTTGGTTCAGAATCTCAGACAACCTTAGGCCTGCAATCAGGGAGCCTAAATTTTTAGTGCTTCCAGAACCAATCTGGTCTGCTAAAGGTCCTTGAAAACTTTCTAGGCCTGTTCTGCTGCAGACCAGGACAGGTCTGACCTAAACAGAAAATGAATTTTTGAGCAGTTGTTCTGCTTGCTACATTTCTTTCAGTATATTATAAATCTGTAGGGAGTTTCTTATGTTCTACTAAATGTGGGTGAAATTTCATTATGTACACATTGAGAATTGTCTAGATTGTATAGAAATTTGCTTGAAATAAATGAATCATTGGCTTAAAGTTTGAGAATCCTTTTTATTGGAAAATATTTGACCTGTCGAAGCAGTCCAGACTAAATAGAACCTGTTTCCAAAACAAAAGGGAAAATCATAGTGTTAGCTATCCAGTAACTACCAAAAGATTGATTTTTCTATCACAAAAACATTGTTTGCTTAGTGTTCAGCAAGAGAAAGTGTGAACAGAACAACTTTTTGAGACAGTTAAGTGGTACAGTGGTACACTGTACTGGTTTTGGGAGTCAGAAGACTTGGGTTCTAGTTCTGACTCTTTCACTTATTTGTGACCATAGGCAAGTCACTTAACCTCTCTTGCCTCAGTTTCTTCATGTGTAAAATGAGAATATTGGATGAGTTCTGAGATCCCTTTCAGCTCCATATCTGTAAAACTGTATACTCCCACTGTGGTTAAACATTTCAGTGAAGGTATTGTGTTGATCTTCAGAAAAGATCCTATGATAATTCACTTCTGATGATTCAGATGCCTGGGGCTGGCAGGTGTACCATATGAACCTGAAGTTCTTCCCAATATTGCGTTTGACTTCCCCAAAACAGTATGACCTTAATATTTCACAAGAAACAGAAATATGCTTGGCCTTAATAAAACCAATTTCACATATTGAGATTTTCAACTTGCCCACACTACAGAGGTTTTTGCTGACAGGAATATTATTTTTTATAATCTTTAAATTATGCAAAGATGCATTCCTGTTTTTAAGACCTAGGTTCTTTACAGAGATCTGGGCTACAAGAGATAAAAGAATGTAGTAGACACACCCATAAGCCACCCTCATTTCTTTCAGTGATATTGTGTTATCTGTAATCCTTGCATTAGGGAATTGAGGGAAAGTGAAATTTATATTAAGACAAATATTATATTCAATATTAAGAAATAAATATATACAATCCAAACATACTGTATATCTATATATGTACATATACATATATGCATGTATAATTTCCTACAAAATAATAACTAAAGTTAAAATGCTCTTATTAGATAAGAGGTATTTAACCATTTGTGAAGAAAAAATATAAAACTTAGTAAAGTGTATGTATAGTGTTGAATAGCAAACAATTGAATTATGCTCTTCATTCAGCTGAACTTTATTGCTTATTTAGCTGAGTGTTTGTTGCAGGCAGGGAGAAAGCAGAAAGTTTCCATTTATACTTTTAAAAAATTATGAAAATCCCACAGTGGCTAATACCTATTCTTCATTTGCTTGAGCAAAAGGCTGCATCAGTCAACAGTCGCTTAGTACATGTATTAACATGTAGCTCTAGCAAGGCAGTGGCTACCTCCAAATATTTTTTTTTTACCTTTTTAAAAAGCAACTGCAACTTATTTTTCTCTCCTGTATTTCACAGAGCATGTCATGAAATGGCAGCATGTGCCTACAATCTTTGCTTCTTGGCGCCTTTCATCTTATAATTGTGGTGATTTGAAATATGTAATCTTAGGAAAGTTTTTTAAAAAGATGGATTGTTGGAAATCAGTAAGGTTAACAATTGGGCAATTTAATTGGAACTCTAATAAAATAAAAACTAAATGAAGCTCCAGTTTAATATTATCTGCCTTTTCCCTTTGGAAACAGTTGGGGTTGTGGTGCTATTAATTTCTATTGTAATTTTTTTCTGTTTTACTTATTTTTGAAGATTTTCAGATGTTATTCTAGCAACGATTTTGGCAACTAAGTCTGACATGTGTGGTCAGAAATTTGAGCTGAAGATTGATAACGTGCGCTTTGTTGGTCACCCCACACTTCTGCAGCATGCCCTGGGACAGGTATGGTCACAAAGGATCTTGAAAGATGGGGTCTCATGTAGCTATATCACTCTTCTTCTAGTTATTCAGAACATTCTAAAGCCATCTGTGTGAATGGTAATGTAAACCTTCCACTTCCAGATGACAAATTTAAAGTACACAGAAGTTAGATAACTTGACAAAGAACACCCAAAAAAATAGAACTGAAACTTGAATACAGGTCTCCTGACCATTTCAGTCCAGTGTGCTTGAGAAACCACACTTAAAAAAAAAACCAACTAATTTTGTTGGTATAGATTGTTTTTACATCAGATTTATTTCCTGATATCTCTTCCTTCTGCCTTTCCCAGAGAGTTATCTCTCATAAGAGAAAATTAAAAAGAGGAGAAAAAAAAACCAGTTCAGCAAAACTAACCAACACTACAGGCAGGTTCACAGTGTTCCACATTCACTGTCCCCCATCTCTGCAAAGAAGGGAAGGAGATGCGTTCTCATATTTCTGAGGCTCTTTGATCATAATTTCACAGCATTCTGTTTTGGTTTTTTTGTTGTTCTTTCCATTTTCATTGTTGTAGTCTTTGTTTACCTATTTCTGCTCACTTTATATCAGTTTATGTGTCTTCCCATGCTTCTGTGCATTCTTCATAGTCATCATTTCCTACATCACAGTAATATTCCATTATATTCATGCATCATGGTATGATTAGCCTGTCCCCAAACAATGGGCACTTAATTTGTTTCTGATTCTTTACTACCACAAAAAATGCTACTATAAATATTTTGGTGTATTTTAGCTTTTTCTTTTTATCATTGCTCTCCTTGGAGTGAATTCCTAGCAGTGGGAGCTCCAGGTCAAAGGGACCTTTTAAGGACATTTTAGTCTCTTTATCAGCATTCCAGATTGCTTTCCAGAAAGGTTCATTGCTTCAATAAAGTACAATAATACTACAGTATAGTATATACAGTACAGTATAATAATACAGTAATAATAAAATACAATAATATTATAATAACAAAATACATTGCTTTAATAAAATACAATAAAGTATTTGTATGCCTGTCTTTCCACAATCCTTCCAAAATTTGGTGTTCTCTAATTTTGTTCTATTTGCCTGTTTGTTGATTATGAGGTAGAACATCATTTGTTTTCATTATTAAGAGACCATACTCCTGTAAGCAATGAAAACAATTTAAATAAATGTTACTTATTAGGGAAAGAATGTTTTTGTAACCCAACCTGCAGATTAAAACTCAGAAAACCACATTTGTTTTTGGTGTAGAAAATTAATACAGTTGTGCACAATCACACAGTTCATTGTTAATTCATTTCAACAGATTTTTAAAATTTTTTTTATTTAGTTTTCAGCATTTACTTTTGTAAGATTTTGAGTTCCAAACTTTTCCCCCTCCCTCCCCTTCCCCCTTCCCAAGATGGCATGCAGTCTGATATAGGCTGTACAATTATACCTGTACAATTATATTAAACATATTTCCACATTAGTCATGTTGTGAAAGAAGAATCAGAACTAAAGGGAAAAACCATGAGAAAAAGAAAACAAAAAAGAGAGAGAGAGAGAGAAAATAGTATGCTTCAATCTGCATTCAGATTCCATAGTTCTTTCTCTAGATGTAGATAGCATTTTCCATCATGAGTCTTTTGGGATTGTCTTAGAACATTATATTGCTGAGAAGAACTAAGTCTATCAAAGTTGGTCATCACATAATGTTGCTGTTACTGTGTACAGTGTTGTCCTGGTTCTGCTCACTTCACTCAGCATCAGTTCATGTAAGTCTTTCCAGGTTTTTCTGAAATCTTCCTGCTTATCATTTCTTATAGCACAATAGTACACCATTACATTCATATACCACAAGTTGCAGTTGATGGGCGTCCTCTCAATTTCCAATTCTTTGCCACCGCAGAAAGAGCTGCTATAAATATTTTTGTACATATGGGTCCCTTCTTTATGATCTTTTTGGGTTATAGACCTAGTAGTGGTATTGCTGGATCAAAGGGTATGAACAGTTTTGTAGCCCTTTGGATATAGTTCTAAATTGTTCTCCAGAATGGTTGGTTCAGTTCACAACTCCACCAACAATGTATTAGTGTTCCATTTTTTCCACATCTTCTCCAACATTTGTCATTTTCCTTTTTTGTCATATTAGCCAGTCAGATCAGCAGATATTTATTAAGCACTGTTTACAAAGCACTTGTGTAAGGCCCTCAAGAAGTTAAAAATTTAACCCTAGCAGAAGTCATGTAATAACTTCAATTTCTATCTCTGGGTATCATCTTCAAGTTTGGTTATCTTAATCCTATTTTTCTTCTGCTCTGCTCTTATTTAAGAATTATGTAAGTTGGGTAAAGTTAAGAGAGTCTGGGCATTTATTGGACTCAAAGTCAGGAAAGTTAGGGTCTAGTCCCAGTTTTGCCACTGATAATTGTGACTTTGTGACTTTGGGCAAGTCATTTCCCCTCTCTGGGCCCCAGTTTCCCTATTTATATGATGAGGGAATTGGACTAGGTGGGGGTTCTTAACCTGAGGCACTTGAACTTGTTTTTTTATTATTTTTAATCTATTTCAATATAATTGGTTTTTATTTAATGCATTTAATAACATTTTTCTGAGACTAGATCCATAGGTTTCACTAGACTGCCAGTGGGGTCCAGGGCAGGAAAATAGTTAAGCTCATTATCTGTGATCCTTAAGGGTCCTTCCAGCTCTTACATTCTATGCTTCTATCGTTAGCCACCTCCCATCAGAAAATGGGCAGGGATGAATGAATGATCTCCAAATGTCACATTTCTCCATCTGGTCAGAACCTTTTGCTGAAATTCTACCAGGAGAGTGAGCTTCCTCTGATGGTTCAAAAAACTGAAAGGTGTGTTTTGTTCACAGTCTTTTCTTAGCAAAAGAGCTTCACTGCTTCTGTCTGGCAGTATGTGATAAAAAGCCTTCTGTGGCCTTGCTAGAGCTCTTCTTCCACCTTGTGGTAACACTTGTTCATGAAAATGACCATTTTATTTCATATAAATTGACCATGCCTAGAATAAATCTGCTTGACAGATGCCAATCAGCTCTTGTAGCTTCTCAGAGTACTTGTTCTGTTTAGTGACAAATGGTGGTTAATGGTCAAGAACAGCAGAGATAAAGGGTTGGAGTAGAGGTACAGGTTGAGGATGAGTTGTGGGAAAGTGGTAAAGTACCTGTTCAATGCAGGAAACATTTATCAAGTACCTGCTGTGTATAAGGTGCTTCTTTGCTGTCTTTTACTCAGTCATAGAACTAATAATAGCTTTATGAATAGTGCTTTATAATTATAATTATATGGTGCTTTATGAATTACAAAGTGTCTTATCTTATTTGATCCTAACAATAACTGAAGTTGATAGTATAATATTATTCCCATGTAAATATTATTATTTCTGTTTTACAGGTGAGAAATTAAAGGTCAGAGCAGTATATTGTTTTGCCCAGGGTCACTCAGCGAGTAAATCATAAACATGATTTGAATCCAGGTCTTATTATTCTAATGCCATTGGTTTTTCTATTATACCATCACTGCCTTCCTAAAGGATTGTTTCGACCCTGTCCTTCATCCTTCTTCCTTTTTTCTACATTTGTGCACTATGGATGATATATAGTGAGCTTTCAGTTATCTGTGGCAAAAAGAAGTAGGAATAACTGAGATAAGGAAAGTTAAAAATGATCCCATTTACATTTTTTTTAAAAAGATCCATTTAATTCATATTTTATTTATGTCTTTATTTTTCTTGGTATAGTTTAAAATTTTTTAAGATCCAGTGACCTCAGATCTTATTTATGTGTTTATTTTATGTTAGTACAGTTATTTCCAACTAACAAATTTTATTTATGCCCTTTTTTTAAACATCAGAATCATTTCCCAGTCTCCCTCTACCCAACTGACTTATCCCTTGCTAAAAGAAAAATTTATGTATAACCCAATCAGCAAAATTCCTCTGGCAGTACATGAATTATTCTATATCTTCAAGCCACTTATTTCCAAAGAAGAGCCAGGTGTTTCCTTCTCCTTTCTCTGGGACCAAGATTGGCATTGCAGTTCATCTGGGTTTCACAACATTTTTGTTACTTTTGTTTACATTATTGCAATCACTGTATATATTGTTTGCTTAGTTCTTTTCTCCATTTCAGTTCACGTTAGTCTTTTTGGGTTTCTTCAACTTTTTTCATATTTGTCATTTCTTACAGCACAATATTCCATTACATTTAAATATCATAGTTTGTTCACCCATTTCCCAGTCAGTGGATTTTCATGTTGTTTCCAGTTTTGTGCTACCACTGAGTGCTGCTAGTAATATTTTATTATATATAGGACCTTGTTGCTGTTAATAACCTCCTTTGGATTTATGCCCTGTAGTGGGATGGCTGAATCAAAGCATATGAATGAAGTTAATTGGCTTTCTTTGTTTAATTCCAAATTGTTTTGTAGAGCGGTTGGACCAATTCACAGTTCTACCAGCAGTGTATTGGTGTGACTGTTTCCCCATGGTTCCTCCAACATCATTAATCATCTTTGCCAATTGAATAAGCAAGGTGAACCCTTAAGAGTTGTCTTAATTTGCATTTCTCTTATTAGTAATTTGTTAGTCTGCATTTGACCTTTTGAAAACTATTCCTACTCTTTAACTGTTTACTCAGGAGAATGGCTTTTAGTTTTACATATTTATATCAATGCTCTATTTTATATCTGGGATAGGGACTGGACGTGCAGTTTCACTGATATAGGTAACTCACAGGTGAGGAAACTCCCTCTACCAATGCAGGTTGCCATCTTTCCTGCAACTTTATAGTCTTAGAGAGTTGCCTAGAACACTGAGAAGTTGTGACTGGTCTGAAGTCATCCAGCCTGTGTATGTTAGAAATGGGACTTGAACACAGGGCTGTCTGACTCCAAGGGCAGTTCTCTACCCACTGCTCTACTGCCTATTATGTTAGGGAAGATATTGAATTTAAATAAGGTATTGTCCTTGCCTTCTTGGAGTTTACAATTGAGCTAGAGAACATAAGACATATGCATAGGAAATATACATTATTTAGTAAGTGCTTGGGTTCAGCTTCGAATAGTATCTCAAATACTTACTAGCTGTATGATGCTAGGCAAGTCGCTTAATGGTTCCGTGCCTCAGTTTGCTCATCTGTAAAATGAGGGGGCTGCAATCGTTGGCCTCTAAAGTCCCTTCCAGCTCCAATTCTATGATGCTTTGATACCAGGCTTATATTTGAGCAGAAAACTTATTTTAAAACCACCTCCATTCAGTAATTCTTCCTGATTATTCTCAATATATGAGACATAAAATTCTAAATAAAGATATCAGGTTTTATTGAATTGGATTGTGTTTGCTGGATTTATCCACATTATTATGATGGTTGTAGTGGCCTGGATATGACAGTGTGGTATAGTGGAGAGATCTGAGAGTTCCAGTCCCAGCTTGGTCACTAACCGGTTTTTTAGCAGTGTGTACAAGTCACTGGAGGAATCTCTCAGGGCCTTAGTTTCCTCATATAAAAATGAGGGGTTGGACTAGAATCTAGTCACTAGATAATCTAAAAGGTCCCTTCTCATAATATTCTGTGATTCCAAGTGTTTTTGAGAGGCACTGTGCTGAAGAAGCAGAGACCTAAAGTAGGAGCATGAAGACTCTTATCTTCTAGGCCTGGCTTTACTACATTAGCCCTTTGACCTTGGTCAGAGTCCTTACCCTCTCTGATCCTCAGTTTCTTTATTTATAAAATTGAGATAATATCCTTCACAAGAATGAGATAATGCACAAAAAAGTGCTATAGAAATGTAAAGTGTTATACAAATATAAAGTGTGATAGAGTATTGAGCTATCAGGTGGGCTTGCTATTGTTGTTATAGGAGTAGTATATTTATGGTGTAATAATTAGTATTTTGAAAATTCCAATAGGAATATAAAACAGAATCACATTTATAATTATGATTATGTCGCATTCGTTGTATCCCCGGAAACAACCTCCAAAATCAGGGAAGTTCTGTTAGTATGGTGAAATGGGTGTTGTGACTGAGCACAGCTCTGTACCACCTCAAACACATAACAGATTCACCAGACAAATATTGGTGGTAATGCGTGGTCCAGTCACAATCAGCAGGGCTGGGTCTAATGATCTCTCCCTAGCTCTCTCATTCCACTGCAGTCTTGACATTTTTCTTTTTTCATTGTGGCCCATTCATCATCAGATTATCTCCAGCTCTATCTTTTTTCCATTGCTCTCTGAAAGTGATTTCATTTGCTTACTAGACTTCTGTTTATTTCACAGGTATCCAAAACAGATCCATCTCCAAAAAGAGAGATGCCTACGATGATTCTCTTTAATGTGGTATTTGCATTAAGGGTAAGGTCATCTTTGCAATTTTTCAGATTATCCCATGCAAATCATTGGGAGTGAGGGAATTTGTGATTTCTTTCTCATTAAGCCTAAACTGAATAAGAGCTTAAAATGAGTGACTAAGGGAGCGTCTGAAGTCTCAGTCCTTAGGGACTAGTGGACTGGACAACCTTGTCTTCTTGGTGTTTTAGATGGGGCTGGACCAGATGATCTCTAGTGGCCTTTTCTGGTTCTAAGGTTCTGTGATTAGTAGTTAAAGGAGGCTCCCATTCCCATAAGATGCAATGTTTTGCCCTTAGAAATCATGCTATACTGCTGATCATAAATGAATAGGCAATGTGCCCTTCTGTTTAATTTGATGTCCCTTCCAACACCTGTGAGGTAGACATTCAACCTTTAATGATAAGTTTCTCATTTCCATAGCAGTTTAAAGTCTATAGAGCACTTTCCTTACAACAGTCCTTTGAGATTGGTAATATAAATGTTATCATGTCTATTCTACAGTTGAGGAAACTGAGTTAACGAGATTAATTGATTTGTCATGTAGCTAGCCAATGCATGTTACACACAGCCCACCTTCAAGCTCAGGCCTCCTATCTCCAAGTCCAGTGCTCTTTTCTATTAAAGTACAGTATTGTTGCCTTAACTTTTTTACTCTCTGACTTCTATCCATTCTCACTCTGTTGAAACTGTCCTTTTCAAGTTCTCTATTGTTCTTTTCTGAGGCTTCATCCTTCATGACTGTAACATTCTCTCCTTCTTGGTACTCTCTCTCTCTCACTGTTCTCTCCTGGTTCTCTTCCCGTCTGTCTACGACTGATGTGTTTGGTTGGTTCCTCATCCTCATTTGTCAGATGTAGTCAATTATGTTTGCGCTACCCTCTTCATAAGATTTTTTGTAAGAAAAGCTCTTTGTAATCCTTAAAAGTGCTACAGAAATGTATTGTTGTCACTTGTATATTATTCAAAGGGAAAAATGAGAAGTACACTTTCTTCTGTGCAGGTTTACTGGCTATGGTATTTTTTCTAGATTCTTCCAAATATTAATTTTATTTTGAGGCTACTGGATTTATCTTTCAAGTTATTATCTTCTCAGTTCCACAAACTAAAGAACAGATACTATTTAAGCTAATACATATAAAATGGGGAAGAAAGTTGGTAAAAGAGGGTTTAATTTTGGCAGTTACCCCAGCTGCATAGCGAATTATTGCTAAACAGTGTCTGTTTCATGTTGAAGGACCCAGTGGTTATGGAATGCTCTGTAATGATGCCCTTTAGGGATGAATTGCTGTGCCTGTTTGTAATTCTTGACAATTTTTCTGTTGACTAATTTGTAATGTTTATTTCCTGTGAGATTTTGAAAAGTCATAAGCCTGATAGTTCTCTGTTTTTATAATTGAGTTGATGCTGTTTGGGAGCACTGATGTCCCTAAAGTTATATTAGAGAATAACTCCCCATGAAGGAAGGAAATGGCTGGGTTCATTGTATTAATATTTGGCTAGAAGGATTTACTGTGCTTGGGGATTACATGTGGCCACTTGTGACAGATAAACAGGAGTGAACAACTGTAGTAGAGCAAAGAAGGCCCCAGATGTTACAATCAGCAGGATCCATCCTCCCTCTTCTCCCCCCAACACTCCCCAACCCTCAGTGACTCAGCAGGTACTCTTGGCCTTCAGAAAGCCTAAGTCATGGTTTGCTCATTTATCTGTTAACTCTAGAGCATGATGGTCCTTTAAGTGTCTCCACAAACATCTAACAGCTGCTGTCTCCACCCTGTCTGACCTGGGGCAGATGACCCACCCTAGCATGTACATGGCTGATAGTTTTAAGGTTTTCATGAGTGAAAGCAAGTAGATTTTACTAATACCTCTTAGTACTGAGAGATACCTGTAATCCACCATTTAAAAGCAAAATATACACAGGGATTACACATGAGAAATAACAATAATATTAATAATAGTGGACATGTATGTAGAGCTTTGTGATTTACCAAGCACTTTATATAGATGATCTCATTTTATCTTCACAACACCTTGTGGTATAGTACAAGCATCATTTCCTCCATTTTACAGAAGTGAAGGGACTTGCTCCAGGTCGCACAGCTAGTAAGTAGCAGAATTGGGACTTGGACCTAGCTCTTCAGAGTCCAAATCCAGGGCCCTTTCCACTATCCCATAGGTGTTTCTCATGCCACAGTGGGAAATGTGGTGTAGTCCTAAACCATGTTGGCATGTTATATGTTGGTAAAATTGGGTTGAGCCAGACTAAGGTCAGCTGTATTATATCCTTTAATGGAAAAGCAAAATATTAGAAATTAACATTTAAGGAAAATTTGTATTCAGTTACATCCCTTTTATGACATATCCTATCATTGTATGGATTCATAGGTCAAATTATATCCTCCAATCATAACTACATAAAATAAAAACTATAGCATAAGCAGTAATTAGGCCTCTTTTCCGCATTTTTTTTCTTTATGCCAGCATTATAAGAAGGCTGCATTGTAATTTTGTAATTATTTTCTGTTGTATAGAGAGTTTCCCACACAGGCAGCTGTACATAGAAGCTTAGAGTTAAAAGGGACCCTAGAGGCCATCACATCCAACCTGTAACTGAAGCACGAATACTCTCTATAATATCCCTCGCAAATGATTAGCCAGCCTCCCTTTGGAGATTTCCAGTGATAGACAGTTCATGACCTCCCAAGGGAACACATCCCATTTTGAGCAGCTCCAGTAGTTAGGAACTTCCTCCTTATACTGAGCTAGATCTAACCCTGTGTAGCCCTTCCACTGGATCTAGTTCCTCCCTCCCTAGTTCCTAGGTCAAAACAAAATAAATAATCCCTTTCCCACATGAGAACTCTTGGAATATTTGGAGGTCTCAGTCATACTTCCCTTATGTCTGCTTTAGGATTAATATCGTATTTCTCCACAAGTTCTTTCAATTGGTCCTTGTATCATTTTGCTTGATTTTACGTCCCCTCACCAGCCATGCTGCCCTCCTCTGTACATGCTCCAGCTTGTCAGTGTTTCTCCTAATGTAGTGCCTAGAACTGAGCACTAGACTCCAGTTAGGATGCAGCTTAAGGCAGCATACATTTACATATGTGTTCCTATACATGTATGACACATACACATTATATTTATAGTTAAATTTGCATTCAGTGACTTTTTTACTTTCCAGGCCAATGCAGATCCTTCTGTGATAAACTGCCTGCATAACCTGTCACGTCGAATTGCCATTGTGCTGCAGCATGAAGAGAGGCGCTGCCAGTACCTGACCAGAGAGGCCAAGCTGATCTTAGCCATTCAGGATGAAGTGTCTGCCATGTCCGACAGTGAGTGTGGGGCTCACTGCCCTTCCCAGTCCTAGCAGCCCTGATAGGAAATTCTTAAGTAGAGGACAAGTCTCAGGTAGAGGAGCAGGTCAGCTGTGTTGATGGACTGGTTTTTAGTCATTCAATTAAATATTCCCTAAAATGAGAGGCAATGTGGTACAGGGGGGAAAATCACTAGACTTGGAGTTTAGACCTGGCTTGAAGGCTAAGCTTTGCCACTTTCTAGCTGTGTAACCGTGGACAAGTCACATAATTTTTTTGGACTCTAATTTCCTCACTTTGATCTCTTAGGTGCCTTCTAACTGATATTCTGTGAGTCTAAGTGGATTAAACCCTGACTGTGTTAGCACATTAATACTGCTGATAATAGCAGGGAACTTTTTGACTTAAAGTTTTTTCTTATTTGGAGATCATTCAAGTATTAGCTTGGGGCCATAAATAAATAAAAATTTGCTACTCTTATAATAATTAATTCACATTTACCTCAGTCAGTCCTTATAACACACCTGTAGAGGAAGTAATATAATTACTATTACCCCATTTTATAGCTGAAGAAAATGAAGCTTAGGTCCCTTCCACTTCTAAAATCTGTAATCCCATGATCATAAATAATTGAGAATTAAGGATACAAATATCAAAATTCTCTTTTAAAAGTATTCCTATTCTGGGGCAGCTAGGTGGCACAGTGGATAGAGCACCAGCCCTGGAGTCAGGAGGGCCTGAGTTCAAATCCAGCCTCAGACACATAACACTTACTAGCTATGTGACCCTGGGCAAGTCACTTAACTCCATTGCCTAGCCAAAAAAAAAAAAGTATTCCTAGTCTGTTTTTATAAAGGTTGTTTTACCTTGAAAACTTTACTCCTTTACTTGTTTTAATTGAAGGTCCACAGTCTCCATTTCATCACATTCTTCCCAAGTGTAAGTTGGCCAGAGACCTCAAGGAAGCTTATGACAGGTAAGCAATATTCCTCAGCCAACCTGAAAAAAGCATAATTGATCTATTGTCTCTTCAAATTAGTCAGCACTGTCTGTCTTGCTTGTTATTTGGCCTTTTGTCATCCTCATTTAAGTAGCTACCATTGTAAGTAAGCCTCTACTAGGGAGTCACTCGTCATCGTTATGCAATAACTAGTGATCTTGTAGAGACATGGTATGGTGCTGGGCACCATTGGTGCCGTGAAGCATGTTGCTTATTAAGTGCTACTTGACAGTGGTAGGAAAAAGTAGGAAGACCCAGATTCTAATTTTAATTCTGCTACTGATCTGTAGTATAGCCTTAAAGAATGCTTCCTCTGTTGTCATCTTAGTCTTCTGTGAAATGAAAGATTTGGCTTAGACGTTCTGTAAATCCTTTCCAAATGTACCACCTTCTGCTGTGATTCTGACAGCATGGTACAATGGAAAACATTAGGCCAGGAGTCAGGAAACCTAGGTTCTCATCCTTGTTCTGCTCTTATCTAGTGATGTGACCTTAAGAACATCATTTAACCTCACTGGTTCTCAGTTTCCAATGCTGTAAGATGAGACAGTTGTTCTAAATAACTTCTAAGGTCACTTTCAGCTCTGACAGTCTATGATTCTATTTTAATTTAATTATCTCAGAAATTTCTCATGAATTTTGGAGGTAGATTAGAATAAGATTGTGTTGTACTGCTTTCTCATCAGCATATCCTCAGGAGGGCTGATCTTGGTAGCCAAGACCTTTCCTGCACAGCAGGATGCATAAAACAGTCTTCTAGTTTTCCCTTCTGTTGTAAAGAGGTAATTAAACTTCACGTGGTTGGGGAAATGTCTGTACAGTATTTTAAAGATATTGGAAGACAGATGTTCAATAAGTATTACTATTTGAATATAGTGTCTGGAGGTCCTAGTGAAGCTGTCCGTGATTGTTGTATTCTTATTACTAATATTTGTGAAGAGATTTACAGTTTACAAACCCTTTCATATTTATTATCTAATTTGAGCATTGCAGTAACCCTGTGATGTAGTAGTACTGTTCCCGTTTTATAGATGAGAACTGTGAATTGAGATAAGGTCATCCTTTCCTATGTTGAGATGCATTGAGGCCATCAGTACACACCCTGGACTGCAGCTGTGGTTTTCCCTGCTTCTGCCATTAGTTTCAGAGGGGGGGCCCACACAGTAGCTTTGAATGTCATTAGCAGGTGACTTCATAGCATCCTGGCAACCACAGCAGCTGATGAACTAGGTGACTGGAGAAAATGAACTCTAAGATCACTTTTAGCTTTAGTACTGGGTGCAGATACAGGACCATAAAAGCACCAGTATGTATTGAGCTCTTCTTTGTTCTCCCAACCCTTACTTAAAAAAAAATTGTTGTTTTTTTTTTTGTTTTATACCACAGTTATTTGCTGATACATCTTTCCACCGTCATTACCTACCTCTTAGGAATATTGCCTTATAAGAAGAAAAAACAATCATGCAAAACTGACTTACAACCAGATTTGAGAGCATATACAGCATTCCCAGCCTGAAATCCCTCACCCCTCTACTGGGAGGAGTAAATTTATTTTATTTTCTGTTCTTCATAACCAAGATTTGTCATTGTAGTTAATCTAAGTTCATTGAAATTAATGAGGTCATTACAATTAATCTGCCTTTTAATGTTGTGTTTGGCTTATTGTTTACCAGGTTCTTTTCTGTGCATTAGTTCTTGAACATATTCCTGTGTTTCTCTGAATTCCTCATATTCATTGTGTCTTGCTATCCAATATTCTATTTCATTTATATAATACAGTCTATTTAGCTACTCCCCAATTGACGGGCTTCCATTTGGCTTCATTTTTTTAACTACAACAAAAAATGTGGCTATGGATATTTTGATATACATGGGGCCTTTGTGTCATTGGCCTTGTGGAATTTATGCCTAGTAGCATATTGCCCAGACCAAAGGTTATGAACTAAAATTTTGTTGATATACTTCTTGCATAATTCTGCTGGCAGTGGGTTAATATGTCTGACTTCCTTCAACCCCTCCAACACTGATTATTTCTTTTATTATTTTTGCCAAATTTAGTAATAAACCAAAAAGGATTTATTAAGTGCTTACTTTGTTTCAGGCAGTAGGGATACAAAGACAAAATCAAAAAAGTCCTTGTCCTTAAGAAGCTTAAGGAGATGAAACCTCAGAGTAGGTTAATGTGCATTTCTCTTAATAGTGATCTGGCACTTTTTACATAGTTGTTATTTGTGGTTCTCCTTCTGAAAACTATTTGTTCATATCCTTTGACTACTTATCTTCAGAGAAATGGCTCTTGGTCCTATGTATTAAGTCATTTCTCCCTGTACTTTTTCTTATAGCTCTTGATCCTACGATCCTTTGGAAATAAAATAAATGCAGAAGGATTTCAGAGGACTGATGACAGCTGGTATTTTTCTGATGCCTTCTGGGGAACATAGGGTACTCCTTAAATACCTTATTCATCCTCATGTCTTCTCAGGGAGGGAAGGGATAGAGAGATATTATTATCTCTTGTTTACAGACAAGAGAAAACTCACTTGCCCCAAATCAAACAGTAATGGTGGAGTCAGGACAAGACCCTGGAGTGTCTGATTCCCCCCTAGTGCTGCAGGCACTTGGCTTCTCCGTGGATCTCTTTGCTCCTGGAAGAAGCTCTAAGTGGTCACTCTGTTGAACTGGGGACCTGAAACAAAAGAGCTTTCTCCATCCTTGATGTGTTTGTTAATGTGGGAGATTAGTCTAATTAAACTGGATGAAACTCTCTTTATACTTTGATTTCAGGTCCCACAGAGATTGTTATAATTGGAAGATTTTTGACCCCTCCTACAAGGAATTGCTCCTGAGCAGTGAGCTTCTCAAAAGCTGTTAGTGCAATTGAGCCTTTAGGACAGTTTGCATTTCATGTTTGATTCAGCGCAGTATTCGGTACAAACTAAGTGCGAGGCTCTGTGTTTGTCACTGGGGAAAGACCTGGAAGAACCTGGCCTCAAAGAACGCAGAGAAAAACTGTAATAAATTAGAATGTGATCAGTGCAGAGGAAGGACTGAGTGAAAACATGCTATGAGAGATTAGAAGAAAAATAGAAAACTTCCAGCTGTAGTGGAGACAGATCAGGGAGAGTTTCCCAGAGGAGGGGGCAGCTGAGCTGATGCTCAAAGGAAGGGAAAAATTTCAACACATGGAAGTTGTCTTTATTACAGGACCATTGGTGCTCCCAGGCCACAACATAACATGGTAGAGATTTTCTTGCTTTGGAATTCTTTCCTTATTTATATAGTGCCTACTGTGTACCAGGTACTTTTGATCCTTTTATTATCACCCCCATTTTACAGATGAGGAAACTGAGGCATGCAGAGGTGAAGTGACTTGCCCAGGGTCACACAGCTAGGAAGTATCTGAGGCCAGATTTGAACTCAGGTCCTGACTCCAGGTCTGACATTCTATCCACTGTGCCACCTAGCTGCCCCCTTTGCCTTCTTATCCCTAACATTCACAGGAATACCTGGCATATAGCAAGTGCTTAATAAATGCTTTTTACATTCATTCATTCATTTGGTGAGATCCTGCAATCCTGGAGAGCCTTGGGAAGTGAGGAGGAAGGAAGGGGCAGCCAATGACTCTCAACAGGCAGAAGTGTGGAGTCATCTGGGTCTCACCAAGAGAGCACATGTGGCAGAGGAGGGCTCTGCTCCCTCCCACCTGTGGGTCCTCAGGCCAGCCACTCTACTTCTCTCAGCCTTAGTTTGCCTGTGGATCTATAATGCCCCCTCCAATTCTAAGTCTATGCACCTCTAAAGCTGGCTTCTAATTAAAAATCAAGTTTACTGATAATTAAAAAGAAAGCCAGGTGACTTCCTGTTTTTTTCTGAGGAAGTATGTCTCATGCCTAATTGATGGTGGAAAAATTAAAGTGATTAAGCCTCCTGGAGGATTCCTCTGTTGGGTCACAGTAAACATACTGTGGTGTGTGGAGGCTGTGACCAAGATGGTGACCACAGTTTAGAGTTTCTGGAGGGACCTCTGAGCACTTATAGTAGCACAGCACCATCTAGTGGCGGCCTTTTTGAACTCATAGTTGAAAATTCACTAACTGGCAAAAGCTAGCTAGCCTCATTACAAACTGTTAAACCATGAATTTTAGGACCAAAGAATTTTGGAGCTGGAAGGGAACTTACAGACCATATAGTCCAACTCCTTTATTGTACAGAGGAGGAAACTGAGGTTCAGGGACAGTCTGTGATTTGCATAGGTGTCACATAGGCAATTGATAGCAGAGCCTAGATTTGAACATGGGTCTAAGGACCCCAAATCCATGGTTTATTCCACTATACAGTGACACCTTTTTTTAACTTACCCAATTAAAGTAAAGGCTCTCTGTGTCCCCAAAACTATCTTTTTTCTGTGTTAGGGCTCTATCCTCATCTGCCTACTCCTGAATATGTAGTGTCATCTATTATATGCATATATGTACATGTATTTTATATGTAAAAACATTTGGATGTGTATATGTGTGTTATCTTGAATACACACACGCGTGCACACGCACATATATATTCTCAGTGCTCAATAGATGAAACTGAAAGCATAAAAGTTTTTGCTGTATGGACCCTGAATTATACTAACCATTTGATGACTATTTTGAAGTGCCAGTCTTGTGTTTCAGAGTTCCCTTGGGACCCCAGTGCCAATCAAATCTAAGAGTTGTAAGGGAAGAACTGAGCTCAAACTGTTAACAAGGGACTATGATAATATAAAGCTGTTTTGGGTATAGTTTCTATTGGGAATCTGTGGTAAGTATAATGTATTAGAAAGGTATATTACACCTGTTGTCTAGGTGTTGTGGGGCAGCTCACTTCAGCTCACTGGGCCTCTCCAGTTTCTTCAGCTGTAAAATGGAAGTGACTAGACTGGGTAAACTCCCACACGCCTTCCTGTTGTGCATTCTCTTGTGATTCTCTTGTGTTCTCCCTGG